TATATATATCAAATATTTAGAATGCTACCAGACGAAAGTGAATAAGTTTATAATAAAAAATATAACTTTTGTGAAATCAACGCGCAAGTCTAACCTAAATCAAATCTAAACTCAAAAGATCATCTTTTGATAAATAAGAGTTCACTAACGTTTTAGTTGCGTAAACATAGAATCGTGGTTAGAGCAAAAAATGACTATCCAGAAACAAAATGCTATCTAGATTTCTGAAGAGGAACATAAATTAGTTTATTTGGAGTTCAAACTGCCTCGAGCTTTCCAAATTTATCAATGAAAACCCTCTAGCTTTTTGCGCAGTTATTCCTTTGTCAATATGAAGTACCTTCTTCTTTTCACGATCTTTTTGTTCACGTTCTTTCCGTTTCTCCATCTCCTTGTGTTGTTGAGCAACCGCTGCTATTACACTGAAATGGGAATTAATTTTTCTTAATTAATTAAAATTTCATGTATTGCGCATAAAACATACAGAGAAAAATAGCAAATCATTCAGGTGAGCTGGTTGTAACCAGAAAATGTAATTGCACACGAGGGCTTCGGCAGATGGCAAGGCAACTTTTCCTTCTATAACTTACGTTGCACGTGCTATGTATAAGAATTAGAGGAAGTTGCGATAGTAAATACTCAAGATAGAAAACGTGACGAAAGTCTCTAAAAACAACTGAAGAGGCAAAACATGTTTTGCCGATCATTCTGACGTCTCGATTCGGAATCGAGCCGTTATCTTTGTAAGGGAGCACGTCATCCAATTTGAAAGAACTATTTCGAAAGCTAAAAAAGTCAATCAAATGATTTCTAACACGGAATTGCACTGCCACCTCAACGAAAAAGACACCACGATAGTAGTACCAAGATTAATTATAGAATCGTCTTAAAATGGCTTATATAATTGAAAACCGACTTCTTAATTATTCGAGCCTTTTTTGAAGATGATAAATTTACCTGGTGAGGGTGTGGTTGAGCAACACTAATAAATCAGCTCTCGAATTCAGAAAGAACGCTTTTGAAAAAGGTAATCTTTGTTATTATAGAGGTAGAGAAAGAGAGAACATTATAGAGATTTATATAGCTTACATCTATAGGAACTTTCGCCGTATTTTCCAGGACAAGTTAGTGCATTTTGACTACTGGCCATTCCATTATCATATTAATTGTATTTGTATACTTAAAGAGGTTGAAAATACTCGTATTTACATAGGATCTATACGATGGCAGCTTTGATAAAATACAATTTCAAGAAATCTAGAAAATGAGCGCTACCTTTGTTGACTGATCTGTGCCAGCTTTTGGTGGTTTATGCTCATTTGTTCGGGTTGACCAAATGTAGCCGTGATAACCTTCGACAGTGAACTCAGATGAGACACGAACGATCTTCCTCCTGAACATAATGACGGTTCCGGTAATCTACAGAAGACGAGAACTATGTTATAAATAGAAATGAATCCCTTGAGAAATAAATCTGCACTTGCGTAACTAAGGGCGATTTGTACTAAAAACTAATAGATCTTCCTTTAAGTCAATCTTTATTTCACTAGGACCAGATTTTTCAATTATGAACCCTAGTAAAAGTAAAACATTCAAAATATTTTCAAGTTAAGTTAGAATAGCATGAAGTCACTGCAATGCCAACAAGTGCTTTAAGTATTTAACTACTATGAAGTAATCAGATATTTGAGACTTGCTAGTATTATCGTTTCAATATAATTTTGGCTCATTCTATAGGCTCTGCGCGCAGTTGGGATTGACTAAACTGCCGCCTCACAAAATAGAATACGGTTGATGTGTCTTTTTTTGGGAGGGACCATTCATGCAGATGGCTATTGGTTCTATGTTTTCTGTGACTTGTACCTGAGAGGCATCGAATGACTATTGCGAGGCTGAGGCATCAACATAGTCCCTCCTGTCTGAAGCGACATTTGTCGATGGTTTTCAACCTGCTGATTACTGATAGCCAGGTCTTGTTGGTGTTGTTGATGAAAAACAGCTGCTGCCGCTGCTGCAGCATATGCCGGATGGTACCCGGCGGCTGCAAACGCCGCGTGAGCTGCTGCTGCAGCGGCAGCACTTGATGTAGGCGGGGGTGCAGGCGAAGATGAAGATGAAACACAAGCAACTGCCGCAGCAGCAGCAGCAGACGGAGGTAAGTGGTTGTTTACACTGGAAATACCAGGATGACTTGATAATGGCCCGATGGATGATGAATGTGAGGACGAAGTCACACTCGATGTTAATCTAGGATGAGACAAGGGCGCTGTATAGGAAAGTGAAGCCATTTGTGAAAGAGATGCAGCTGGTTGATGCGCGAGTACGGGTGGATGGTGGTTTGAGAGCGCTGTCGAAGGATGGGATGGATGACCACTTGGCAAGCCAGATATACCGGCCATTACTGGTAGCCCGAGCATGGTGGCATGGGAGAGAGGCGACCCAACAGAAGTGGGTTCTATTTTCATCATAGGCCGATACGGGTAACTTTGTGCAGTCGCCAATACCGGCTGTGGTTTTGGAAGTATCGCCTAGAGAAGCAAATGATCATAAACATTTATAGTAAGTTAATCTGTTTAGTTGTTCAGTAGAACTACGAAGCGCATTGGCTCAAATATGCGTGCATGTCTGCCTAAAGATTGGCCCCGCTATGTATAAATGACGTTCGTATAACATATTCGCTACGTTTTAATGAACTTTTAAGCAAGCTAAACAAAATGTTTAAGTACAATGTTTTCAGCTAAAAAGACAAAGTAAAATATTTGAGTTCTTTCACCTTTGGTTTAGCTGGCATTTCTGGTTTGGGTTTAATAAGGACTGGGCCTGTAGGATGAATTGGCGTAGGTGCAGGAAGCGTAGTCACCGGGAAACCTGAAGTAAGAGTACTGCCTCCGTTGCCGTTACGTGCGACGCCGAGAGGCGAAGGACTTTCTCGCTTCACCACGGGACTCGTCTGATGTAAAAAGAACACATGAATAATCCGCCATAACTGCCGTACCCGTATGGTGAACCATATTAACTAATAGTAATTGTAAAAGAAACACTTGTTACTATACAAAATTTGCAGTGGCAGAGGCCCATTTTTTCCTTATGTACCTGCAATGCTATCCTCAACAAGAAGGTCGAAACAAAAATATATTTCAAGCGGGTCGCGTTACTTCGAAGCTCTACATTATGCTTTCAGTTTTGTCGAAATTTACGTAACCTTTTATATAAAAAAAAACATCTCTTGACAAATTAGAAGGCCCTTATGTGGTGCTGTATATATATTTACTGTTGCAACTCTATATGTACGGACATTTAAGGGATACGAGCAGCAATAATTAGTTTTTTAACGATCTAACGTAAGCATGACGTGGTAAAAGTTAAAAGCGCACGAAAGGTAGCAAACTGTATTTGAATTGTATACTGTAAACTACTATACATTGAATTGTATACTATACACTGTAATTGAATTGTATTGAAATACGTCACGCACCCGTTCCCGTTTTACGACAGTGCCACCTGGAGAATGGAGTGCCGGTCCAGGCGGCTGCATCATAGGCCCTGGTAGCCCCTGCAGGCCAGTTATACCAGAATGGGGTGATATCCCTTGGTGACCCCCACCAGTTAAAACGCTGCTGGGTTGAAGACCTTGCGCACCTACTTGGGTTGCGTGCAATTGGTGGCCAAACAGGTGCTCGGCTGAGAACAGTGGATTAATACCTCCTTTTACAACTTTTGTAGGGGTTGGCTAATGAAAGAGTAATGAAATGTTAGAAATAAGGATAGTGCTGTTGGAACGTGATTACGTTATTCTAATTTTATTAAATTTACTAATCTATACATATCACATGCAGGTGCAATTTTTTATAGAAAATAAAATCAGCTGGAAGTTGACTGTAACAAGGTATTCAGTATTGGTATACATATACATTTTGTAGTGGATCACAATCGGTATATGTTAGCTTCTGTTCTTGTTAATCTAATTAGAAATATAAATTTTCGACCTTACGAATATAAGGCATGCATTTTTTACCTTTTGTAACGTAGGTGTTGAAGGCGTGGGAGGTGCAGGACTTGGTGTGACACCCGGTGTGGCACCAGGTGTCATTGATTGAAAACTCCCGCCGTGTAGAGGAGATGTCAGGTGGCCTATCAAATATATATATATATATATATATATAAAGATGATTTTATTCTACGAATGTACGCATTCAAAAATTTTTAATTTTACGACCGGTGTGCCCAATCGGAGGGGCTTCCTAATGACACTACATGTAGTCATTGGCGATGGAAAACCCACTATCCTACATATAATGTGATGAAACACCTGCCGCAAAACGTGTAACTATGTGCCGGTCTGTTCTGCTTGGCGGTTTCCAAGCTCTATTTGTTATAACTTCTGTGTCATAGAAGCCATGATCAATTGTACTGAGTTTGGATTTACGTCCCAGATCCTCTTTAAATATCAGTGTGCCGTCTACACATACTTGTGCAATGATGAACGATGCAGATCTACGGCTTGCTTCGAGAATGAATGTCTTACTTAGTCAAATCTTTCCAGCTGCTTTGAGAAGAAGCGTTCCTAAACAATTTGGATGTTCTAGTAAGCAATCAAGGACACGTTTATTTCAAACTACGCCAAAGCCGTGCTCAATAAGTCTTGAGGATGCACATATTCCCACACTTGCAACTACAGCTTGCCGCACGGTCTTCGTGATGTGCTGAGCAAAAGTTTAGCCGTTCGTGGGCAAGCACACCCCCAGATACTTGAAATCTTTACGTACTACAGCATCGTTCTATTTATGCGGAATGTGTCGGGAACGGTACGGCGGCCTCTACGGTGGAAGTGCATGGCTTCTGTATCGTTTATGTTGATCAACAGTTGAGCCTCATTCACGTAACACTAAAGCCCTGGCGAGAGCTTGCTGGACATCAGACCGACTCGATTCAAGACCATTGGTATGCAGCAATGTTGTTATCCATTTTGTCGAAACTTGTACACAGCAGAGAGTACCAATTTTAAATCACGACTGACACGGTCTACCTCTTGAAGCAGCATAATACATGCCGTGAAGGTTAAAATTCATACTATTTAACGTCTTAAACGCATACGTGAGCAAACTTCCAGAAATTTTGTCAGCCGATCTGTGATAAGATAAGCCATAAATTTGCAGCAGCAGCAGTTTTTTTGCCATCCAAGAAAATTGCTCAAACGGGTTGTTTTTTTCTTTAAAATATTACGCTTATGAAGACTTAATTTCAGCGTGTGGGGAAGTGACAATATCGTACACAACTACTGAATAGATTTGTGTAGCAAAGGAAAATGTCACACGCAATTTTCCAGAACTCATTTTGGACCAGGTTCGGTTCAACTGTCTTGTCCGATTAGAGTTGCTTAAAGTAGCGCAGTACCTCAAAAACGGAGGACTCATATATGTTATAACACAATTATCGAGCCATACCTGGGAGAATGACTGATGTCGTCGATGTCGAAGTTGCTGATAGAAATGGACTTGAATGAAGTGGAGCGTTCTTTTTAAAGCTCCCCGTTAGGGCTGTTTGGCAAGTAGGTGTCTGTGACAACATTTTGGCGTGTAGAGCTTCAGAAGTTCCATCCACCGAAGGAGCGGGAGAATACAAGGGAGAAGGTGAAGGTGTTGCCGGATGGCCATAATAAGGTGGCAGAGCCAGAGAACTTGCCGCTTGTGCATTCAACAATGCCTGCTGGGTGGCATACGATGACGAAATATACCTGAAATGAACGAGTTCGGAACTATCTAACTACGCAACCAGCCGCCACTTAATAATGCGTTTTTTGATAATGTGCCGTATTAAATATTAAAAATCATGGAATGCACTGAAAGCCAAGAGTCATGGGAGTGAACAAAACTCTATATTTACCCTGCCATCGGCGCTGTTGGAGAAGGGTGATATAACACCGGCGCGCCACCAAAAGGCGGCATCGGATAACTTGATGAAAGGCCTGCCGATGGCAGACCAGTCATGCTTCCGTATGGAACTGAAACAGAAGAATGATTAAAGAATTTTACAAAAGATGTAAATGAAGGCGATATCTGATTTGCTCATTCTAAACGACTTCTTATTGGTTATTATTTGCAGGTGCGGAAGATACTTAGATATAGGAAAGTCGTACGTAAAAATAAACGAATCGCAGAATTGTCCATGACATTGGTTTTACGACTTAGGTTCTGCAATACATACACAGATCAATGTAGTCTTAAGCTCGTCATGATCTTGGACTATCACATATAACTAATGTGGAAATAGAGGTTACCTGGCGTAAGTCCGGAAGGCGGTGCTCCCGTCGTTGTATAGTCGAGTTTTGACGAAAGTCCTGTTGCCGAAATCGGACCGGGGGTGGCCAACAAGGCCGGAACATATAGCGGCTAGAAATATTTCAAGAACCATCTTTGATTACTTTCACGCCTAACAATAATGTCCACAGTTCGGTAAACAACACTTTAATAAATGTAATTAACGCCCATTTCACTAAGATGGACCGATATCAAAATGTGTGGCATTCCTCTTTGTTTAGAACTGCCAACGTGGCGTGCAGACAATTACTTACTTGGCCGACGTTTGTTACCTTCAGATGCTCGAAATGACTTAATGGTGTAAGTCATTTTGCGGAACTTTTACCGGTACTAAATATCGTGTCAGTGTATAAAATATAATACTGGAGAATAAACTTATATCTACAAATATACCTGTTGTTGCTGCTGTTGCGTTTGCGATGAGGTTGGCGTTTGCGGCCTAGTTGCCAGCCCGTAAGCGATATTAGATGCGCCTGCACTCGTTGGCACCGGGCCAAGCGGAGTGGGGTGATGCAAACCAGAAGCTCCGTGATATGCCGAAGTTCCAGAGGAAAAAGCAGCTCCACCTTGCTGAGGCCTGTTCCCACCACCACCACCGCCAATGCTTGTGAGGGGGTGGGGCGGTAAGCCCAAACCCAGACCAGACGCATAGCCGGGCGGAAGACCATTAATGGGAACGCGCTCGTCCATACCACCACCGACTGCCGCGGCCTATTTCGGCCGACGGCCGACGGTGTTTTGTTTAGGGCCCTCAGCCCACCACTGAGGTGTGGTGGCTGTGGCTGTCAGCGCAAGAAGAACACAAAAAAATAAATCTTAGTGAACAAATCGCCATTTTGTTCATCAAAAAGATAAATTTAATAATGCCCACTTGTTGGTGATCAACTCGCGTTATTTATAAATAGTTGTACGTAAATGTTTATTGCATCAATATAGAGCATTCTTGCTTGCCGGCTATAAGGATTATAATATAATTAAAGCCAGATTTTTATATAGGTTGAAACATCGATTTGTTCACCACAATGGTATGAAAGGATCCTTGTCTCGGGACGCTCTATGAGCCATACGAAGATTTCATGTTGGTTCATAGTTTTGCTTGGGATTGAAGCGACATTCCGATTCGTTGTGGATGAAATCTGTCGGTAATGTACATCCCTTAATGCTTAGCTTCTCAGACCTCAACACACAGTTTGAAGGATATGAGAGCCAGTGACTCATTCAAGAATCCCCTTGACTGCGCCAGTAATGTAAGCTTACAGAATTTCACGGTTTACTGCTGCCGCCGACTGCTATGCATTAATTGAATCGTAATAAATCTTTCATTTAGTCCACCACAAAAATTTGTTGTTATAAGAATTATGTAAGTTCTTCGAGTCCTAATTTTAGGGCCTCGTTTAATGCCCCGAAAAAGGTTACCATTGCTTCTAGCCAATTGCCGCGGTGCTAGCTCACTAAAAGGTTGCACTTTTGGAAGTGAACTGAACAACAACAGGATCCTATGTCTCAAAACACAGAACCCAGAATAGACAGCAGCCATATTCTGAGAATTCGTCAGCGACATTAGCGGTCCATTATAGTTCAAATAATCCCACGCTCGTTAGGCGTGCTATAAAAAATGATTACTGCATCTATAAGACTATAATAATAAAAAACCGTATCCATAAGCGCTGTTTTATTTTTTCAAGGATATGACGTGCTGCCAAGGCGCGTATGTTGCTTATCCTACGCAGTTTTTTAAATGCGGTTTAGACTGGCCATAAAACTCGGCTAGGTTAAATTTTTCGTGCTTTATGCCCGGTATCGCTGTTGGGCACATGACCAGATGGCTACCCCTCAGCGCAACGGATTGTGTCTACACTCGAATTTAAATCCAAGCCACCATGTATTTTTAAAGTTTTGCGGGCCAAGATGCCACCAACTATGTCATCACTGGGGCCAGATTGCCCGTCTGTTACGAAACATATGGATTAGAATTCGTGGCATTCATGCAAAACATTTTTGAGGGATCTCTTTCAAAAAAAAGTAATTTCTACGAAGAATGAAGAGCTCACAAGGTTTTGAAATTTTTAAATGTGTGATTTTTTTTAAAGTAGCAAAAGAGCGAAAAATGTGAAAGCGAGAAAGTAAGTTGAAACATTATTATGGCACAGACACGAAATACAGAGGACCTGAACTTATGCACGAAAAATTATGACTACGATTTGACATCCTACCAAATCATTAGAGGAATTTGACATCAAAGGGAGGGATATTTTCTAGGAAAAAACAGTGCCGAAAATACAAAGCTGGGAAGACTCATGTGAAGGACACGTGGTTAAGGGGTCTAGTGTGTACCTTATGACTCTAGTAGCAGTGTCGTAAGTATCTCAAAAGCCAGAAGTACATATTCTGAAAACATACGGTTTCATTTCCGATCTCCTTCCTAGCAGATATAACGCTAATAAAGAGTCAACATTTCATAAAACTGCCTCCCTATGACTAAGGTTCTTGTCTTAAAGGGTCAGCCAAATCAAGGATGGACTTATCTGGCGCACTATTTAACTTACTTATCTTGCGCCGGTCTATTTATCAAATGCACAAAGCATATAAGAACAGACGACAAGTGCTCATGGTAAATCTATATATATATTAAGCACACTTACAAAATGTGCGCATTGATCTCAAGCTAAGTCAATACCCAATAACACAAACAAGCAATTCGATAGCTACACACAACAAACATTTTTCTAATAGCCATGATGCATCTACCGCCTTTTTGATGACAGCTGTCACAGAATCTAGGCTTCACAAATTATCGAGTTATATAAAAACAACTCCTTCTGTACACACAGCTTGTGTGGTATGTATCGTTGCTGCTCGAAACACATGCAGATCGAAACTGTAACCAATTATTATGAACCTAATAGAATATGGTAACACTTATTTTGAGTAAAGACCAATTATAAATATATGAAGCCGATTTACAGGTTACCGAAACATGAATCATAATCTGTTCTCGCTTCACTACTTACTTCTCTACAGTCGAATATTGTATGCATCTATGCATATTAGTTAACATATAGCTATTAACACTTCTGGAGCAGCATGCTGTTCACTAACTGATTTCAGTCGTGTAAATGAATATACGGCGATGCGAAGTGGAGTGTCAGAGTTGATTTAGGAATATTCTTATTCCTGAAGATTTATTTTCGTCATCGACTAATGGCTAAAACATCCAGTTAGTTTGCGTTTGGGTGACGGACATTTTTTTATTTTGGCCGTTTTCAGCAATTTAGAGAAGCGAGTTTTCCACCTATTTCAGTGTAATTAACGCACAAAGCTTTCATCCTGTTTGCTGTGGGAACCTCAATGTTATTGCCGCCGTTTTACCTCGCATGTTGCTAGTAAACTCTTTTAATTTTTATTCCCATCTGGTTTTGTCTCTACGAATGAGTCGCTCGCTTGTCCTAAAGCAGGCACGTATCTGGATCGTGTGAGACTATCGGACTGTCAATTTCTGACATGCAAGCGGTATGATTGGTTTAATTTGCAATTACTTAAAGCGGCCAACAGGATCCTGTTAGTAACTATTTGCTCCGACGTTAATATGGTGCAGATCCATGATGAATTTTTGTAAGTATTTTATATTGGGTTGTCGAAAAGGTATAGATTGTTTTTCTAGCTATATGACTTTAAAATCACGTCGCTCAGGTAATAATGTCCGTTGAAAGCTGGGGTTGAACAGTAATATGCACTAAAATGTGCTAAAATCGTAGGCAAGATGGGCATCGTAGGCATCCATAAGTTCCTGCAAAAATTAGCTATATGGACAATTTTATTCCGATAAAGATGCAGATGATGCTCAGACCGAAAAAAAGTATGATTTTTATGATCAAGATGTGTATCGAAAAAAACGAAGAAACAGTTTTGCGACAAATGCCTCTTGTTGTGGTCGACCAGTTGATTAACTTATTGCACAAGCTGAACTAGACCAACTCGTGAGTAGCCATGATGTCGCTCAAGTAGTAACATCTATCGCTAGTTTTAAACCATTTCAAGCAAGTTGGCTATAAAGAGATCCATGTTTGAACACGAATTGACGTCAAAGGGTTCCATCTGCGCAGCTCTACACAGACGCAACGAAATCTAGGTATTTATAAATCGGTTGATTAAGGGTTATGAGAAGTGGATCACATACGACAATAATGTGCAAATCAAAATGTGTTCCACAATCTGTAGCCCAGGCCGACGCAAAAAGAAGCGGATGCTATGTGTTTGGTGGATTTTGCAAAGAAATCATACCTTACGCATTACTGCCGCCTGGCAAAATGATTGATTCGGATTTCTGTCAATAACTTACAAGATTACAACAGGTCATTGAAAAAACAGACAGGAATTAGCGAACAGAAGAGGCCGCGTCAGACCACATCCGTCCTTGGCTACTTGGCAAAGATTAAGAAAATTTAGATGGGTAATTTAAATACATCCGCCGTAGTACCCAGATCATGTACTATCAGACTACCATCAATGTTTCGGTTTGTGCGAAACTTAACAGTGTTAACTTAGTTTTAATGGAGGGATACAAAAATCACACGCCACTATTTTATCGCCCAGATGTTTTATAATAATGGGATCATGGTGTTATTAACAAAACAGCAGAACGTCTTTCACCAAAGTGATGCGCATGTATTTTATTAATATTATTTTGACATATAATATTTGCTTCAATTTTAGTTTTTGGGTCAATTCATTTTCGACAATCCAATATAAACTTCACGTATAGCATAGGGTAGAAGTTGGGGTTTGCGGTTTCGTGGAAACCCACCTTAGCCCGCTACTTACACATCAACTGCCATTTTACTATCAAACGTTACGAATATCCGCAAATCGGATTCGATCTGAAAAATACTTTCCGCGCTAAAAGCCTATTGCCTGCAACTCGATCAGGAGCATTTCAAACAAGTTACGGAGACGGCGTGTTTAAGATATTTCCGTCAGTTTATATGGCAACCTACAGCCATATCTCTATGATGACTGAATAAGTTTTGCATATTTACAAATTTAAGTTCATTCAACTTATATAGAGCCATGGTTTGCAGATAAAAGACCTAAATACGCAACCAAAATATACAGCGCAACTGAATTTAAATACTATTAAATAAAAATGAAAAATCAAAATCTTATACTATACCTCACAAATCAAACAGATTTTGCTTATTTGAGTAATTAGACTGTTTGTTAAAGTAAATAAACAAAAAACCTAATTATGCGTAAATCACAACCTCGGCGGAGTTAAAGAAGAAATCAAAGTGGAAGAAATAAAGTGGAAAAATCGAACACTGAACTGTTAAATGTAGGGTTAGAAATAAGTTCCAAAGGAGTAAAGAAAAAGCATCGATGTTGATGCTCAAGCTTCTGATTCATATTATTGAAAAAAAACCTATCAAGAAATGCACGCATAAGCACATATGAATGCAGTATACGATTGTAGAGCATCTATATCATATTGTTGCAATGAACTACTCAATACCAACATGGTATATATTCTAACGCGATGAATATTGTAATAATCATATATTACATATACAGACATTTAATACATTGTAAGTGCTTCGATTTTCATGTCTGTCCCATAAGCATCGTTCCAGACGGCTATCCCCAGCACAGCACAAGGAGTGTTTGTGCCGGATTTCGAACCTTGCCCACCAAAGCTGTTCCCAGGCTCTGAAGGCAAACATATCGACTAATTCGCTGCGGATTGAAGTATGTAAGATGAAAACATGAATAATGGATGTCTATACTATACAAATCTTTGTGCGAACTTAGTGTGTTGAATAGCGTTACATACGTACCCTTCTACACAAGAGTAACAGTTTCTTCGTTGCAGTTGCAAGGCGGCGACGTCAGCTGAACCGCTTTCGTTAACGGATGCATGCCGTCACTTTTTGCGAGAGATCCTTTTGTCCGGAGGATATAACAAGGTCTAATGATAAAATCCAGCACTTAATATAGGACTCAGCATATCCGACGAGACGTTCAACACTCCACTAGGATATAAAAAACAGTAGCCACAGATGTGTACCCTAAACTGTTGTTTCTGAATCGTTGTTTCTCTGTTGTCGATGTTTAGAGGACATCGGCAGTGATGATTGGTGGCTGCCTTTTTTACCAAACGTTCACATAGCTATTATACTTCCGAACGTGTGTAATCAGCACAGCGTTTCAGGACAGCGCTGGCTATGTGGGAATGGAATAATTAAGCAGTGAGCAATGAGGAGAATTAAGAAGTCGAAGAACCTTGTTATTCAAGTTCTTTTTTCTTTGGCTATGACGTAACAATGTTGTCCTGGAATTACACTGAGTTCTAACAAACGCATACAATTCTTCTTAAACATTCTTACCTTCCGCTTCTTCTTTCACCTAATGTATCTATATATATATACATATATATATGTATATATATATATATATATATATATATATATATATATATATATATATATGAATTGATATATATCTTCAGTCTAGTAAAATCCGATTGTAGATGGAACAGTTGAATCATTTACATCGGCACACACGCACGCGTATTTAGGAACACCGTTAAGAACATGTTCGGACACACAAGCACAGCAGCGGGTGATGATGGTTATGCTGGTGACAATAAGATGACACGATGATAATAACGGCAGTGAAAATCTTTCGATTCGATCTAGTGAACAGAATAAATGAAGATTACGGCGGCGACGTCCTGGAAAAATCGTCTGTCTCCTGTCTTTTTCTTTGTAGAAATAGCCGAGAAGGCTGCAGCAATTTGTTTATCGACAGACGTGCCCGACACAACACGTTCGTGTCATGTTTTTTTATGCTTGTGTTTTTGTACTTTGTGCATGCGTAACTGCGGTCCACCTCATTCGCTTAGAGGATATCCGATTTAGACGAAGTAGTACAGCCCGGGCAAGTTATACATGCAAGGAGAAGTTAACGAAGGTTAAACTAAACAATTCAATGCTACTTAGTCGACAAGCATGATTTGAACGCCGTTGTTGCTGTTCTGCCTTCATTCCGATTGCATTCATTAGCATAGCTGTCTTTTTATCGTAGGCACTAATCAGACAAATAATTTTGGCGTAATACACGAACGCCGAGACAGGACTGGAAAAAGAGAGACAGGGACCCGCCGAAAGCGTAATAATATCAGCTCCAGCAGGCACCCTTACTATCGCTTTAACAGAACAGTGACTCGCAAATCACCACAATCTTCTAGTAGAACAGCTATCCTACTTCGTTCTGTTGCAGTTCAATTATTGCCGTGACGCGAGTAACCCTGCTTGGCGCTAACCATATTCCCGATGCTTACTGCCTTACCGGAACTACACTGTTATGGTGAACGGAATATGGACAAGGAAAGGAATTGTTGTTGCTCGTCGAAACTTGTCCTGTGCTCATAGTCGTGCTTATGCTGTTTCTGTGGGGGTTCGGCGGTGGTCGCTACTGGGTCTTCTGCTGCTAGGACTGTTGCTGCTGCTGCAATGACGACAGTCGCCATCTTCTTCTCCGTCAATATCAGCCAGCCAGCTATACTCCTCTCCTTCTTATCTTCCGTATACAATAGCACTAGCTCTCTACGAACACGACATCCGCCATATAAACATTGTAATCTCGCCTACAACAGCAAAAGCAACGGAGGCGATAACGAGTCCGTCGACAATACAAACAACCGTGTCGACGGTCCGAGCAGCAGGAAAATAACAACGACGCCACCTAAATCAGACGAAACTTCTTTGTAATTCCAACAGCTGCGCTAGGCAGCCCACATAAAAAATATCAACAGCTAGCAGACAAGTATAATTTTCCTCACAGGCAAGTAGCTTAGCAATCGAGTGTGGAACTTCTGTACTACGTTGAACGTCGTTATGTAGCTTCTTGAATTGGATCAAAGTTATTCAAATTTCAGTTGGTTTCCGTATATCGTTCAGAAGATCATGTATAAACCTTTTTCACGCACTTGCCCCTATTTTGCAAATTTTATTTTAATTTTCAGTTTAAAATTAATAATCCTAATTTCAAATCTGTATCTACTTTAATAGTAATTGACATCATAATCCTACTTCCACAGAAAACAGTGTGTGTTTAACTAAATATGTTTAAGCTTTATTTCATCGCACATGTCTTTATCAAAGCATTTTATTAGCTATAATAACAATAAAAGCACAAGGTTGCAGTGAACTTTACTGTGAGCTTATTGCAAGGAAATCACAACTGAGTAATTAATTGATGTGCACCAACAATTATTATTCAATTGAAATTACTCCGCAAATATTAACCTTAATGAAAGCAATATGAGAATATTCTTTACTAAAAACTAAAACAAGTATTAAAGATAGATTAAAGATATTTTCTTTGAATAGAAAGATTATATCAAATTACCGAAAACAATAGCATTTAAAACAAATTATCTACTGCATAAGTAACTGTGCTGCGGGCTTGCTGGCGTTGGATTTCTCCGTGCTACTGTTTTCGAGATCGTAACAATTTTTTTTCCTACGACGAATGGTGCTGAAATTTATTCCATAGCAATGATATGTAAGCAAACTTTTAAATCAGAGGTAGGTTACTTTTATTTGGCCGATGTTGGGCCTAAATTATTTTGAAGTGTAATCATCAGAGAACTGGCACCATGGCTGCGCTGGATGGCTTGTATCGCGTAAACAAAAATCTATAGTAATGCATATCTGAAAGTCTATTTGATGAGTTTAAAATAGTTTATATTTATTTATTAGATTGCTAAAAGGCATAATAACTTCGTTTTCAGCTTAATACATCATACACAGTTATAAGTTCAATAGGGATATCCTGAGTAATGAAGCTCACTTACATCGTAGCCCACAAAAGCTTTGATTTAGACGATAGCGTATGTTTTTGTTTATTAGTAACTAAAAAATCGATATTGTTACACATATAAGAAGCCATTTGTAATCCCCGCTGCAGTTGTTAGCCCACTTCGCCTTATCGTTCCTTTAGCTAGTGCTTATTGAGTGTTCATTAAAAATTTACAATGGCAATGTGTTATACGGTATTTTGGATACAACCTTCTCAAATCTTCCTTTTTAGCCTTTACTGAAAAAAGCAATAAAGGAATTCAGGTATTGTCACTACAGTATATTTTTAGGTCTATCAGGTTTACCGAGCTTCGTCAGGGTTTTTTGGATAATAAAAAAGTAATATGCCCTTTTCATTTATAACATATTGATTAGTAAGCCCAGCTCGATTTGACACCACACTGCTGTCAACTGAGAATGACCGTTTCGACCCGTCTGCAGTATAACAACATACTTCTTGCATTTTTTAATCACTTAACGTCTTATTACATGCGGACTTAATTTCGCTAGAACTGTAGCTCAAAGTAGCCGGTCCTTGATAGGTTACTAATGATTCGTAAACGCGATAAAGGTTTATTATCTGATAAGCCTTCCACTTTGTTCCTTTTTCGTTAATAGATAACAAATAAGAATCAAACTTACGATATAGTATAAATACAGTTATATTCATATCGTCGTCATGTCCCTCTACCACGCTTTAATGCTGTGCAGCAGAAGTTCACCCGCCAGGTTGTCCAATTGCGCGCTTTGGCACCCGCTAAGCTGGCGGCCAATCAAGGAAGTTAGAGTGTTTATTCTCATCAGGAAGTGCCTCGAAGAGCCAGGTGCTGGTTACAATTCAGATACATTATATTAAAACAACTAAGCTATGTAAATATCGACGTTATATATCCATTCTATATTTAAAGATCTACAGGGAACACATGAGATAGAAAAGCAAGTTTTGAACGTACAATATATAATATGGAAAAGTCTAATTGACGTTCACAGTCACCCATTTTTCTAAATTCCGTCATGTGAGGGTGCATTCGAAATTGTGCTAATGTCAACCTTCCTCTCCTTCACTTTGGTCAGGAACCTCCTCATTCTCTTTCGCAAACACCAGTTTTGCCTAGATAAAACTAGGTGCCCGCTTGTCCTATCGTCGCCGTAGCGTGCTAGTTATTACTCTAGCGTGCAAGTGCACCGTGGTGGTGATGTTAACGGTCTTTACACCACGGACACGTTTTACGGGTCATTAAGACAAGTTGTGTGTTTGTATATGCGTGAATGTGTGTGCTGAACGGCTTATGGCACAGCATCAGCAATAAGACATATTGATATCTACGCCTTTTTCCATGGGTAAAATCTCCTACGAAAATATTTGCGCTGCATAGCTGCTTTTGTAGAATTCTTAGTTTTCAAGTTTAGACCTGTAAATTAACTCTTAATGAAACGCGCCGACTGAGGCCATGTTTTGTTTGGCTCGCTTGTCCGAAACAGTGATCTAATCCTATTCTGCTAGCTTTACAGAACTGCAGTATCATCAAGACATATCTATGTAGTTAATCAGAGAGATTTTGTTTTTGTCAATAACTTTACTAGTGTTATAATAATAATAATAGTAATTATTATTGTCATGTTTATATATTAGTCAGCTGCTATAATAAGTATTTTCGTTGTGTATTGTGTTCGTTAAATTTTTAAGTTAAAAGAACACTTTATGCTTATATTTCTGTTATTTTTTTAATAACATTATAAGTGAACTGTGAGCTGTGGATGAGCTTCGGTGATAACTGATTACGAAAACACGAACGGATACTTAAAACGTAGATCCGAGAACAAAGACTCAGTCTACCCGTGACTTCACCGGTGTGCCTCGTGTTGCTCGGAGTTCGTGCGTGTGTGTGTGTGTATGTGCTCGTGGATTTGCGTGTACTTGTCACCATCGTTTATTATCGTTATCACTTGGAGAGATTCAGTCAACGTTCCCATTCGAAATATTCCTATTCATAGTTGATAAAAGTGTACTGATGCACAAAGTTGTTCCACACATAACAGCAGGAATGGGTTCAGGAGAAAACAACATGGAAATGGACGACGAGCCTCAAGTGATCCGCGAAATACTAAGTGAACCTACCCGAGAAAAGTACGTTGTAGTGGTAATAGTTACATAATTTGTAGTTCGCATTCTGATTTAGTAACCTAAACTTACAAATATGTAGTATTCATAATATTTCAAATTAAATTCAGATTTTCATCTGAATTTACTTCGACGTGTTTGTGTAATTAATTTTTATAACTATTTTACGCCTAGATATGCTCATACTGGAAAAAATCTATACCACAAAAAACTTTTCGGTGAACATTAGTGCTCACATGTGTGGAAGAAATACCTTATCCATTATAGTAATATCCCGCAACCTTTTATCAACCATGCTGACGTCTGAGCCTGCGTACTACTGTTGTACTGTATTCTGAATTCAAAGGAAGTTAATTATACAGACGTGCTTGTTCTAAAAAAAAAGCTCATCAATTTTACATTTCATACATCTACATTTCGATCTTATATTGCGTAGACAGTATACCTTTAATATTTTAATAAGCAAGTATGTTCCTTACGTTTAATTTCCTTAAGTTATCATAACCAATTCATTCGATTAATTTAGCGTAAATAAATGGGGTAGTTCAACTCCACAACTGTTCAAGCTCTTTATATTTCAACTTGAAGGTTTGTGTAGTAAGTGTTATACTTGATAACAAAATGCGTACTACCGTGAGGACTACGTTTAATTTTATTTTGACAATAAATATATCATTTTAGGTTAAAGTGCGTTTACATTTAGAACCAAGAATCACAGGGCTATAATTATAGAACGAGGCAGCGAATTAGAATCGCATTACGTTTAGAGACCTAGAAATACTAAAAACTTACTAATAGTACGATTTCAGTGAAACACTTTCCATTGACGCACACTATCGACAAGTTCTCTCAAAAATAGTAAGATCCTTTTTATATTATAGTTTCCGGTAAACATATTAATTACAAGCAAATGTTAACAGTCACCCGATAAAATGGGAAAATTTTGCTTGGCCGAAACTATGCTCAAAAATAGTTATGTGCGGTTCTCTAATTTAAAAAATCTGGCTATCGCAATAATCTAAATGCATCCGAAACAAGACTGTTTAAAAAAAATTATTATAAAAAATATTATAAAGTAATTATTATATAATATTATTACATTATTATTATTAAAAAATAGAGGAACACATAGTAAAAGATTTACGCTAATTGGTGCCATAAAAGGTTTACTTTTAACCCTCTATCTTTTAAAGTCAATATTCTCAAGATATGAGCAATTATTTATTTTTAAGCTCGAGACGCTATAAGGCTCTACTATAACGAAAAATATAACTCAGCATGTTGGCCTGATGATCCTTCTAAGCTAAAATTATGAGCGTTTTTGCACTACGTTAGTCATTACATGATTCCACTGTTCGATAGGCAGCTAGAATATTTAATTCTGTCTAAATATTGTTCAAAATATTTTTTCTGTTTTGATCTTTTCATTGTACACATAACGGCGTTATCACCTCGGGAGGAAACCCCTACGTATTGGCGTGTCCTAGAAAGAAGCAAGCTTGCTGTAGTCCTTATGAGAATTCGCTTGAGTACGTTGTTCAGAAAATTATGCATACTTATTTTAAGCAAGCGTTCCTATTTATTAAGTGGCTTCGCGCAAGGTTTAAAGATCCAAGTAACTCAAAATGTGGTAACAGCGATGTGGATGTTTGGGATAAACAATAGTAATTATACTTACCATATATGAATCACCTGAGTTTGACTATCCACTGATGAGCTTTAACAAGTAGTCCTCAAACTTGCATTTGACGCACAAAAGTTGCACATTGATAAACCCCATTAAAGCTAAAAGTTCTGGGTTACTACAATTACTATTAAAAAACTAAAAGTTAAAGAGGTTAAAAGAGCGTGCTCTTTCGAGTTACAATATTATGTACTGCACACTCAAAAAGAACACCCTTGGTTGATGTGAATTGATATCCCTGTATTGTAAATGTAACCTGTTAGTCAAATACGATTTTTATCCTTACTAGGTTTCGATTCTTTTTTCCATGTGGTTTTTGTATAACAAGCTGTGGCTGACGTTCTATAGATGTACACAGATATTGTTTACATGCGTTATAGCATAGTACGTCGGTACTGTTTAAGTAGGTCTTTCGAATTGATGTCTAGTTATCTTTGAAATTTGTTACATTTATTTCACATTAGTGGAACGCTCTGTCGGGAAGTTTGTGTTTCTTTTTTGCTTTTTCCCGTAATAAGTTACTAATCATTTTAGTGTAAATTTGAGTCCGAAATTTATATTTTATCTTTGTATTATAATGTGACGCAAGTATGAGTTGTTTTTTCGCGTAACAAAAACGGAGCGTTTCGCTCAATCTCTAACAATAAGTTAAGTCATATATTCGCAGACCCTATCCATATTTTTTTTAGATTTCTCAACCAATTTATTTAGTTCTTCTCGCCAGAAATTCTCAGATCCGCCGGTAGAGACATTACCCAGCCCGGTTTTAGGGCTACCTATCTGTACTCCCAAGTATACTGTTTATAACTTCGTTTAGCAGTGATTGAAAAAAAAAATTACAATCCGTAGGTTTATCCTCCAGTACTAAAATGCCACTATTGAACTCCACAAACCACCTTTGAGTAGTTCTCTCAGGCACGTAGTTCATAACGCTTCATAACTATCTCGTACTGCTTAAACAGCTTTTTGGCAAACAACGAAATTGAGTAGGCACCCAAAATGCACTTTAGACACCTTAAAAACTTAAAGGAAAGAAAGAGAGCATTTTTGACTAGGTGATAGAAGTCAACAAACAACTAATAGGTAAAAGTGGGAAAAAATGATAAAAACGGCCGTTACCGGTTTTACAATCTATTATATCCATCGCATATTATGAGTAAATTTTCATTTTTCCAGGTTTTGTTAAAGGTTGCCTTTTAACACGTTGATATTTGTAATAATTGCTTAATTATTCAAATATTTAAGTACGCTTGCTGCTGATCGACGGTGTTAATCTGTAGTATATAATTATAATTGTAACGCAGTAACATAGCAAATTATTTAAGGTTTAGAGCGTACATTTTGGTGCATTTTCAATTTTGCAGCTGATCTCAAAAAATCAGCAGCCATTTATTTTTTTGAAATACTTGATTTCTATTTTTCAAAAAAAGTTTGTCGTATTAAATGAAAACAAAAAAGGACGTAAATAAGGCGATAGGATGAATTCTGTTCATTTAACGACTACCAAACCGTATTTAGAAAGTGTCCGTAAAGGGAACCTAAAAAAGACAACGAACTTGTTTAGAGATAAAGTTGTGGACCTGTTTGATTAAACTCTGCGTATTAAGAGGATGGTTTTTTGACGCGTAAAAATTATTTTAAAGAATAATTGGGAATTTATACTATGGATGAAATAAAGACTTCACATCACTATTGAATAGTTTTTAAAATTTTAGACAGATAAATAGTTAACAACAATCCTAGAAATGATTACAAGTTTCTCAACGCATACGAAAAAAATACATCACAAAAACACAATAGAGGTAAACACAATGATCCCTTTGTTGCGCGGAAAAGGTCGGTATAATGGTAGGTTGGAATAATGGGCGTAACCCGCACTAAGATTTTTTTAAATTCATTTAATTTCTAGTGGTGCTTATTGTGAGTGTTGTCAGAAAAAAAGCAATAATAGTCTTAGCATTAATCTCATGAGCATTTCAACTTTTGGCACTTTAACCTAACAAAGGTTCTACCTTACGTACGACCTTGGTAAATTCTGCTTACCAAAAACGGCCCACGAAGCATACTTATTTAGCAACGTTCTTCAGTCGTGAAGACTCACATTCATTAAAACTTTGAGAATAGGTTGAAACTATATACGCTCCAATACCTCTAATAATTCGCTTTATGGGATAAAACTAAACGTGTATCCCAGCTATACTGAAGCAGACTTTCGAAGGAATCAGCTATTAGATGATTTGATTAGTCTTTCGCCCTATACCCAGGCCAGATTATCGACACCAGAGTTTCCTCCGGTTTCATCTAGACTAGGCATCACACTTATAGTCCAAGCATAAACAGCTTATCGCTTAATCATGGAACAGTCACAAATAACAGCATGTTTGCATTTCGTTTCGCCTTCGGGTGTTAAGACTTAATGACTCGCATGCTATTTTAATTCCTTGGATAGTGTTTTAAGACAGATCAAATAACTAATGCGAACAATTGATGGGGAATCGCTTATCTATAGTAACATACCGCAACAAGGAATAGACCAAATCGCAGATATAGTGTTTTAAACGCAGATCACAGCTACCACACAGCGCAATTACTGTGGCTAGTTGACGCCCAGCATAAAATATCCCACTACGTACGGACTGTCCCACAGCGATGCGCAGTATACACTAGTCCACAGAGTCTCTGGCAGTATTAACCAAGAGTTCCAACTTCCCCTCATGGTACTTGTTTGCTACTAGTCCCCTCGTATATTTGGCCTTTGATGAAAGTTATCATCATCTTTAAGTTGTACTGTCAAACAACTAGGCTCTCTAATGCTCCGGTTCTACAGATTAGTACAACCATATAGGCTTTTCACCTTCTCTGAGCACTCACTCAATAATAATTAAGCTGTAACTTTAGTAAACACAAAACACTTTTACACATCATCTCTTATTGTAACAGCATAAGAATTAGCAATTGACTTGTTTCCAGTTTACTCGCAATTACTATAGAAATCTCATTTAATTTTTTCCTCGGCTTATTGATATGCTATATGATATATATGATAGATTCAGCGGGTGGTCACACAACTTCAGGTAAACATAACTTCAAAGATAATTTATACCACTGCATTTAAGCAATAGTAACTACGTATGATATTTGTATACATACTGAAACAAATATAGCATAGGTGCAAGTGCATCTTATAGAAATTTTCGTTCAAAAACACAATGCGCACACAACTTCACAACTCACATCAATTTTCACAAGTTACTATGTTTTTCTTCGGCTTAAGAACTAAGTGATCTCCTATATCGAGTCTTGTGACGTCTTATCGTCGATA